GGGGGCTCTGTCCAGACCCTGGTGTGCAGTCTGCTGGAACCCCTTGCTTAGAGTGTTTCGCCGTGACCGTCTGAAGTTCTTGATTTCTCGAGGGCCCAGAGTTTCACTTCCCATCAGCCTCGCTGGGGGGCGGGGGGGTGAGGGAGGGAGGAGTGAGAGGAATCCACACACCCTGGACCGCCCCACCTCTTCCCAGCAGATATTTTTGCTCTGACCTTTTCCGGGCACAGACAGAACAGCCTGCCTCCTCTTGCCCTGTGCCAGCCTCCATTGTAAGCACTCAGAGAGTTAAAAGGACAAGCTGTGGATCTGCTAACAGCCCAGTCGCAGGCCGTCTGGAAAAGACCGGTCTCTCTCCCTGCCCCCTCAGCAAGGCCTCCCGGCTTCTCTGTGTTCTCAGGCCACCTGAGGGACCGGTGCTGGGGCAGGGCACCCAAGCCCAGGCGTCGGTCTTGTTCCAGGGTGGAGCCCCAGGGCTCCCCAGCCCTGGGCCCTGACTTGGCTGCCCAGCCCCGGACAAGCCCCAGGGACCCCGGCTGAGCTGGAGTGTCTGGGCTGCCCGCTGCTCTGCCTCCCTCCCCCCCTCCCCCACCATCTGATCGTGGTCCTTGTTCACGCCTCCCTCGCTGTTGTTTTAATTAAACTCTGAGGAATCGGGCGCAGTGTGGTACACGATGAACATTTTTGTTTAATTAGGAGCTCTCGGCAGCGTCAGGCGGCCACCACCTCCCCCCGCACCTGCTCCCCACCCTGGCTGGTTGCTGCCCACACACACTCATGGGGACCCTCGGGCTGTGTACACACGGGACGTGCTCACGTGCGGACACGGCAGGGGCAGGTGTGTACGTGGTGTGCGTGCATGCTCACACATGTCAGTGTGGGGACGCGGGTGCTGGCGGACAACCCGGCCTCCGGCGTGCACAGCAGCCTTGACCTCATTTAGCTTGAATCGCCTCGTTAAGGCCCCGTCTCCAGATGCACTTGCATTCCCAGGTCCTGGCAGTCAGGACTCGGCACAGGAACCTGAGGGCAGGTGCGCGTTGCACTCGTCTGGGGGGGTCAGTGGCCAGCTTAGCACGCTGCACCCAGCCCTGCCTCCCACTGTGGGGCGCCCTTTGTGAGGAATGGCCAGACCAGAAGTGAGGGGTGTTAGGCGTTTGAGCCAAAGAAGCCCGGACTCCAATGCAGAGAGTGGCCTCTGGGCTGCTTCCCCCACCCTGGCAGCTTGGCGACTGGGCAGCAAGAGGCCAGCGAGGCGGGATGGGCTTGTGGTGGGGGGAGGGCGGCTGGCAGGACTGCGGTGGTGGGGGCCAGGGCGCCTCTGGGGTGGAGGCTGCAGCTCGGAGTGGTGCGGTCCACTCTTGTTCTGGAAAGTCCCCGCTGGCTGCCGGCCGGGGCCTTGACATCGCTGCCTTCAAGCTGGGCCCCCTGCCGGAGGCTGGCCTGGGCTCTGTGGTGTGAAGTGGCAAGCTTGACCCCGGCTCCCCCGTACTCGATGCCCCAAGCTCCCTGCATCCCTGTGGTGACAACCCAGGATGTCCCCAGATTTCACCCAGTGCCCCCTGGTGAAAAGCCTTGGTCCAGCCTGATGTTCTCACGTGAGCGTCCGTTGCCCCCCACCCCCCACCCCACGCATGGGTAGAGGAACAAACAGCCTCGACGCCCAGGGCCAAGGCGGTGGCTGGCCGCACCCGCAGGTGTGGCCCCGCTGTGACCGGGCCGCTCCCTGTTGCTCCCGTCTCCGTCCGCAGAAGACCAGCTGCCCCCTGGCTTCCCCAACATTGACATGGGCCCCCAGCTGAAGGTGGTTGAGCGGACTCGGACGGCTACGATGCTCTGCGCTGCCAGTGGCAACCCTGACCCCGAAATCACCTGGTTCAAGGACTTCCTGCCTGTGGACCCCAGTGCCAGCAACGGGCGCATCAAGCAGCTGCGGTCAGGTGAGCGCGGGTGGCCAGCAGGCTGCGGGAGCCACGGAAGGTGGTCGTGGGAGGGCCTCCTTTACGACCGTGGCGGGAGTTCAGGCATTCACCGATCCAGAGAGGCAGGACAGCGGGGGCTCTGGAGGGTGGTAGGGTGTGAAGTGGCAAGCCTCGGGGCGTGCGTAGAGACACAACAGATGCTCAGTAATAGACGCTCCAGTGGGTCACCGGCCAGAACGTGTCCGATGCCCAGACAGCAGAGTCCTGAAGAGCAGACAGTTGTGGGTGATGGAAAGCCATGGGATGTGGGGGTCTGTGCAGTGCCCCGGCAGGGGGACAGAGAGGGTGGGGAGCCATGGGGGTGTCAGGGGGCGGCCATCTTCAGGGTCAGACGTGTCCAATGCCCAGACAGCAGAGTCCTGAAGAGCAGACAGTTGTGGGTGATGGAAAGCCATGGGATGTGGGGGTCTGTGCAGTGCCCCGGCAGGGGGACAGAGAGGGTGGGGAGCCATGGGGGTGTCAGGGGCGGCCATCTTCAGAGCCTCACCGGGAAGGTACAATAGGACAGTGGCAGTTAGGATAGTCGGGAGCCACGGAAGGTGGCTGGAAGCAGTGGGCATGTCCAGTAGGGAGATCGTGGGGTCCAGACAGTAGCAAGAAGCGGCATAAGGCAGTGATGAGACTTCCCAGTGGACAGATCCAGCGGAGATGGGAGTGGGCGTAGTCAGGTAAGGTAACGGGAGCCTCAGAGAGCGGCAGGGAGCGAGTCAGCCCCAAGGCTGGTGCAGTAAGTGCATAATGGGGCGCAGGCAGACAGACTGGCAGCCCAGGCCCAGGCCCAGGCCGAGCACAAGGCCTTGTCCACTCTGGGCGGGTGGCTTCCGTGGCCATGCCTCGGCCAGTCGTGTCTCGGGGGCTGTCTGTGTTTTGTGTCACTTGTCCGCTGCTCTGTGCCGTGTCTGCACGCACGTGCCTGGCCCCTGCGCTGGCTGCTCCCCTGGGGGGCGCGCGCAGGCCACCCCCGGCACACGCGGCTTGCCTCCCGCGCCCAGGACAGAGCCTGTGCACCGTGCCCGCGTGTGCCCCTCACAGACCTTCCGCGTGTGCACGGGCCACGTGTGACGCCGCGTCCCCTGCGGCCAGGCGCAGTCGGGACGCGCGGACACGTGCGCG